TTAGTTTCTATATCTAAATATTAATAATTAATAAGATAATTTTTAAATTTTGAATTGTGTTTTAATTAAATAAAACTAAAAATTATTTTTGAAAGTCGGAACTAATATGTAATTTTTCCTCATAATATTATATAATATTGAAATTTAATGCATCGTTATTTAATTTGTTTTTATGTATAATCCTATATATATTTATTTAATATTTATTATATAAGATTAGTTTATATTAGTCTTGATTTTTTAAAAAAATTTAAGATCTCAACTCATATTTAAAAACTAAAATTTCAATGAAAAATTAAAAAATTAAAAAATTTACCCTAATAAATATTGGTATCTAAATAAGAAAATTAATTATATATTATAATGAAATCACTTTTTAACTCTAAATATTAATATTTAATAAAATGAGATAAAATGAGGTATTTACTTTAAATTTAAAGTTTTAATTTATTTTAACAATTAAAATTGATATGCACTTCTTTTTTCATTATATTTATTTAATATTATATATCATATAATTATAAATTTATCATTTTAAGTGATATTATTTTTTTTGTTAAACTTTCAAAATTTAAAAATTATATTAGCATCAACTAATTTAATATTAAATCACAATAAATTATATAAAAAAATTTTGATGTTTATTACTATATTTATTAAATTTAAATTTAAAACTTTATTTAAATAATATTTTCACCCAAATGTATAACTTTATCTTATTTAGATTTTATTTAAGTAAAAAAATTAAATAATTAAATAAGTCAAAAATGCCACTCAAATATCAAATCCCTTGCCATCCAAGCAGCCAAGCGAGTGTGTCCTAAATGACAGTTAAGCCAGGCGAGTGAGTCCCAAATGACAGTTAAGTTAGCATAAAAAGAATGGTTTAATTGCTTTGATCACAGAGTTCAAGAGTTTATACACATCCATTAAAGTTTAAAAGTTTAATAGCAATTCTGAGGTTAGGTCAGGGTTTAACTTATGGTTTTGCCTTTGTGATCACACAACTACTCACAAACATTTTACGAATTGCTTGTCATTTAAAAAAAAAAATGTAAATTTTATGATGGTAACTTGACTCTCGACTTGCAGATAACCTCACGTCCCCAGAAGACCATCGATCGATGGTGGCAATCTTCT